CTTCTGCATCCCATGGGACCCTGCAATTATGGGAAATGTTTACAATTCCTAATACAGGATATTATTTCTGCAGTTTTATTGAATCGCTACCACAACATTATACTTGATTACTCATGTTTGGGGCAATGTGCACTTGTTTTTTAATGTCAGTTTTGTGTTTTTCTTACCTTACCTGACAAACAGGTTTATATTGTTTTTTCCTTAGTCTGCTTTTTGTTTAAAATAAAAATAGTTTGCAAGGTGATATGAGCACTTAGTAAATTTCTCTACTTCACCATGCAGTATCTTTGCTTTATGTCATGTATCCAAATGTTTTGTGGCGTCATGTTGGAAACCACATCCAGCTCAACCCTGCAGTTCTTTATTTCTTCAGAGTCCTCAAACAAGTGTTTCCATGAGGATTCTCTGCTAGCCTCTCCAACACCTTTCTGTGCCCCAACCAACACTGGATCATTGGTTCTTTCCTCAAAGACACCTGGAGAAGATGCTGTACTGTGTGATTGTTCCTGTTTATCAGTAAATTCAGTCCATGGAAAACAAGCTGGCCTATATGTTTTCCATCGCTTCATCTCCCAGAAGACCTACTAGCTTTCCTTTAAATGCCTCTCTAATTAGAGGAGATTTAATCTGACTCACTCTCCCCCTCAGTGATAATGGATCTGAATGAAGCCTGCTTGCTTGCTTGCTTACTTGATTTCCTTTGTCTGCTGTTCATCAGCCATTCCTCTTGAATTTTTACCCACAGAAATAATATCTTTCATGTACTGGATCAGTCAAGAACTACTTGGTTTTCAAGGTGAGGAATGTGATGCTGCTCATCATGACTGTACTGCACTGTGCCTTCCCAGCCCTTACCAACTTTACAGCATGAATGGTGGAAAAAAAAAAAAAAAAAAAAAAAAACAAAAAACCAAACTGTAGAAAGGCAAAGAAAACTTAAAAGGCCTCTATTTCAGGTGTTCTCATATAGATCCAGGAACCTGTTTAAGCAGGCAGTCCTCATCCTCAGCAGGCTTCAGCAGTCAGGCAGGACAGATGCCACCACAGGCTGCATGGGGGGGCCTCCAGAGTGCAAAATGTTGAGCACAGATTGGTGAAAATGTCTGGCCTGAGCTGTAATAAAGCTGTGTCCTCTGATGATTTGGAACAGAGAATGTCCTTAACACATGCTACCGCATGTGCATTGGATGTCAAGCTTTCCTGCCAGGTAATGCAAGTGTGTTTCTGCATTAGGAAATAAAGTTAGCTCAAGATTTGCAGAGGTGATTAGGGGTTTTGAGTGCCAGTGTTGAGATCCTGTGAAAGGGCTGGATGTTCCAGGAGGAGATTTCTTTCAGATTTCTTAAGTCAGGCACAGGAAATTGCCAATCAGTTCACATCTGTTGTTAACGCTGTTGAGATCAACTTTGACAATGATGTAAAAATGAAGAAAGAAAATCGGTAAAGCAAAGCTCTGCACCTATGTTAGAAGGCTCTGCTCCCAGAAGTGCTACTTCCAGTGCTGCTCAGTTGAAAGTCCGCCTGTTGGCCTTGTAGGAAGCCTGTGTGCCTACCATAGCACCCAGGTTATTCAGCTAAAATGAAATGGAGTGAATCTTCCTACTACTTTAGTCTGTAGTGTCTTACTGTCCTATTAATATTACTGAGAAGGGGCAGGACCTTTTGATTTATGACACCTTTCCCACACCTTCAGGTTCTACCAGTTTAATCTCTTTCCATTGCAGCCCATCTGGAAAATCCTTTGTAAGGAGCCTGCACACTTCCTAGCCTCATGTACAGTGCTCAGTACATTTCCTTTCTTTGCACTTTCAAATCTGGAAGATAGTGTTAACACTTAAAATAAACGTGTGATAGTGGGTGTGAAGAGGGAATGGGGAGAACAAGTTTTCCGTCTGTCAAAATGAAGACATCAACCTCTGCTTTTATTTTTTTTGGCATGTGTGCTTTAAATAGAATGACTGGTTTGGGTGACTTCCAAGTGTTTGCTGCATTTGGCAATCCTTCTAAGTTGTAACAGATGAAGTTCTGCTATTCCATATGATGTGCTCCTTCCCCCTTTTTCGGTGACTCCTTGAAACTCCTTGGGAATTCAGCGTAGCATTCACATCTGTTCCATGGATGGATGTCTAAGGCTAACAAAATGCCTACTGGACTTGGAGTGAGCTCTGCCAAAAGCCATATGGTTGTGTTTTAGTTTTGCAAGCACAGTGCAGTAAAGAAAGGAGGTTGGGCCAAGAGAGAAGTGAGGGGAGGAGTGATGAAGCTTCAGATCGGTAAATGAAGGTAGCTTTTTGTCATTTGGTGTTAGTGTGGGAAGACGAGAAGATCGCAGAGAAGAGGAAATAAAAGTTGTGAGCATAGGTTCTTTTATCGGTTGTTTTGAATTACATGGTGCTCCTCTCCTCTGTGTGGTCTTGTTGACCGCAACCTCAAAGCAGGTCTGGTTTTGCCTACCTTTTCTACAATGCCGTATCCGTTTAGATAATCAGATGCTTCCTCTTGGCCTTGTAAGACGTGCATCTTTGCTGACAACCACGCTCAAAGTCCTTCTCGATTCCACCTATTGAGCACCATGCAGCAGCCTGTGCAGTGGTGACTCACTAGGATGGAAGGGATATTGAGCAGCTGCTGCTGCTGCTTCTCTGAGCAGTCACCAGCTAAAGAGCCACATGAGCTGTTTTCTTAGCAGCCATCTGTTGGCCCCTGTAAAATGGCAGCTTGCATTTTTAATAGCCATTGGACTTTTCTGCGTCTGCAAGAATATGCTTATTATTTGTTGAATTGTGTTCTGTTTTTTTTTGAAGAATGTGGCTCATGGAGAGATCTTCTGCTGCAACTTTAGCAAGGGCTTAGAGAGAGGCTTTACCAAATGCTCCATCCTCTGCCAATCCAGCACCTATGAGGTGGGAAACACATCAACTGATGTATCATAAAGATGTTAATGGGGAATAAGAAGACATGAAGTCTCATGTTTCTTTTGAAATATCTTTTATTGAGGGTTTGAAAGTTGCTGTTTGGTAAAATCTAAATTTCAAGCTCAATATCATAAGCAGAAAGAGCAACCTGAAAGGTTTAAGTTTTTAAGAGCCTTTATGGTTTAGTGTAACAATTGAAAGTGCTTTTTAGTAAACTACAGCATGTATGTGGACTAGAACAAGTGTTCTTGTTTAGGGGTGCCTGATTTTTCGTCTCTGGAATTCTTTTTAGATGTTGTCACCAGTTCTGATTTATTTCTGTAGAGTAGTGTTAACAAGTCAACCAAGGCAGTCACCCCACAGTACAGAAGATTATCCAAGATGTGTCAAGAGGCAGGCTTGACCTGAAGGCTTTTCAGTGTCAGGCAGATAGGACAGGCAGGTGGTGAAAGAGAAAGAGAAGTGGGCTGATGGACATGGGATCAACCTGGAATGCTAGCTGCCTCCTCTGCCTTCTCTTCTTCCTTTTCTTTCTTGACCATTTTCTCCCAGGCAAATGCTGAGCAACTCAGCGAAGTTAATAGTTGGCAAGCTGTAGAGGATCTGCACTGTCTCCTGCTGAGACACAGCTGCTGTCAGGATAGACTGCCATTACGCTGTGTACAGGGTCTGAAGCTGTTAAGACAAATTTGCAGAAGAGCCTCAGTTTCCCAGGAAGTGTCCCCTTGACTTTTCAGTATTCTTAGTTACTGCAAAGACTCTCAGCACATTTATACACGTGTGTCATTGCAGTGCTTTCAAAATTCTATTCTGAAGAAAAAAGTACTCTAAAATTCAAAGCAGTGCATTTAAGCAATGAAAATGCATTTTTGTGAAGATGAAAGGGGTGTGCAGCCTTTCCTTCATGGAAGGGGGTGTGCAGTATTTATGCACAGATACTGTTTTTCTTGTCAGCTAAAAGAGTGAGTGCAGTTTATGAGAGGGTGGCTGCAAGCCTCCTGAGAGGGCAGTTGTTCAGTACTGACTTAAAAGTAACACAGCCATTTGTTCATCATTGTAAAATACTGGTAAACAACAGTAGCATAAGCTGTAATTGGAATTTGTGAGCAACTAATCTGTGTTCTGTTCTATTCCTATCTAGAAATAATAGCAGGGTAAACTCTTTTGCCTTTACTAGGGTTATACAGGCTTGACAGAAGTGTGTCCATTCCTTTTTTCTTCTGCATCTAAGCAAAAATGGTATCCTGAGTCTTTACTTGAGAACAGTATCTCTATGCTGTGTTTGAAAAAAGTAATTCGTTACACATATGCAGGTACTTTCTTTTTCAAAGCCTTACTTAGTATTGCTATTTTAAGAGTAGTTTAGATTAATCGTAGACAATAGACATTGCTTCTGAAGAGCACTCGCATCTGAATCTTGAATCAAGAGAGCAGTTCTTATTCCTCTTCTGTGCCGCCTTCTCAAATGTTTGCGTAAATTTAGTATGTGCTTAAGCAAAAGATGAACTGGCCTTTTGTTCAGTGCTCTGGTGGTACAAACAAGTATCAGCCCATCTCCCACACAAAGCTGTAGGGTTCTTGTGTGCTGTGTCTGTAAAACTCTCCTGGTGTTGCCTGTTTGTGGTGAGCAGGAGGCAGGTCTCCAGGAAGGGCAGCAGCAGTCATCCTAACCTGGGACTGGACCTCCACTCTCCATAAGTAAAAGATGTGTAGCCTGTTGGACATGCTTTTCTTCCTCTCCCTTGTGTTCCCGGTGGCTTGGCTCTAACACAGGCAATTCCCAAACACATCTAAACGCCCCCAGTGACTTCCTTTCCAACCTCCTCCTATTCACAACCACACTGTCTTTATTCCTGCGCCCACGTAAACTGCTTGAAATCAGAGGGATTTTAAGCATGTCCTTAAGTTCATGCAGTGACACATGGTCTACAGATGCCTTGTCCCACTCTTCTCAGAACGGGAGAACTCTTGTGTAGAATTATTTTTAATACAGTTTTTCCACTAATTCAGATTATGTCTTGAGTTTGTTCTAGTATCTTATGTACAACTAATGCTTATCCTGTTTTGTCTTCTTGTGTCAAACAGGGTGTCCCCACTGTAAAAATGCCATTCCGCATTTTACAACCGCTGCTGAAGTCTTTAAAGAAGATCGGAAGGTAACTTGCTGTTAATTATTTCTGAGATATTTAAGAATGTTTTCCACCATTTGTACTTTATAGGCTTTGCTTGTATATAAAATTGCTGTTATACTAGTAGAAATATATCTGCGTCTTAGGGGTTGTATCTTTTTTGGTCAAACTGAGTTACACACTTAACCTATTCTGTTTTCTTTAATTTATTGTCTTTTCTGTTTAATTCTTTGTGTAAGAGTTCTTTTTTATGAAGCAAAACACATTCCTTCTCTTTGAAAGATTAATAAAAGATAATTTATATAATCTCCATTCCCCTTCAGTTTTTGTCAGACATTGGGGTGCATGTGGAGAAACTACAGTTGTGTGACAGTCCTGAAAACCTCAATCAAATAACTAATCTTTGCTTGCGTAACATAAATATATTCTGTAAGTTGGCTGACATGAGTCCAGGTTGTCAGGACCTTCTAGAACCCTCGTGCTTTTGCCTTAAAAATATATCTGATGGCTGAAGCATACCAGTGAACTTCCTTACATCAGCTGAAACATTTTAACTGACTGCCTGCATATCTAGAATTAAAAAAATACACCTGAGCCACTGGTTTTATCCAGATAACTAGCTAGAAACCCGCTTATTATCTCTGGGTGTACTGTCTTTCATTCTGATCTCTGAATTTGTTCCAACTTCACAACTGCTTTGTGTTTAGGTGTGGCATGGAAAAGATTTGGCGACTTAATAGGGAAATTGTTCTCTACAGCTTCCTGAGGAGGGGAAGTGGAGAAGGAGGTGCTGAGGTCTTCTCCCCAGGACCCAGAGTTAGGACGCCTGGGAATGGTTCAAAGTGGTGCCAGGGAAGGTTTAGATTGGACATTAGGAAGCATTCCTTCACCGAGAGGGTGGTCAGACAGTGGAACAGGCTTCCTGGAGAGGTGGTTGATGCCCCAAGCCTGTCAGTGTTTTAAGAGGCATTTTGATGATGCCCTTAACAACATGATTTAACTTTTGGTCAGCCCTGAAGTGATCAAGCAGTTGGACTAGATGATTGTTGTAGGTCCCTTTCAACTAAAATAGTCTATTCTATATTCTATTCTAAATGAAGAGGTAATTTTGTAACACTTATGCCCTTATTAATCTGCCTCCTACTATAACAGAATGATTTTTGTCGTGTTTTTTTTTCTTTTCCTCTTATCTTTTCTGTAACTTACATAAGATGCATCAGAATGACAAGAAACAAATCTTTCTTGTATCACTGACTTCATAAAATTAGAAGTCCATCACTTATGCCCTCTGGCACACAGAAGATTTAGAGAGGCGTGCAACTCTAATTTCTCTCATTGCTGTGTATTTGTGTGCTCAAATGCCTTTTGGTTACTTGTTTTTTCCAAGATCTTTGAGAAAGTATCCTTGTTTTCCTACTTCTCTGGTAGTTCCCAATGAAGCCTCTCTTTCCTAAACTCATTAAAATTTCAGTCAGAGGAGATGAAGCAAATGTACCAAACAATGTGAAACTTGCTTATTAGAGAGAGCTCCAGGATGTATTAACAGGCAATCTGAATCATGGTGCAGTTTATTGGACATGGTGCTGGTGGTGGTAAATGCAGGCTTGTGAAGCTTTCAGTTCAGACTGCAGGTTATGAAAGGACCCCAAGAGCAGAATAGTGATTGACGGTTGCAACTCTTGACTTCAGTTTAAGGCTGAAGTGAGGAGGTATAAAATGTAATGAGTTGGAACAGGAGAGCCAGTAGGGAATATTAAGGCTGGTACAGTTTCAAAGAGGTGTGTGCAGTTAGGGAAAACTATGTTATTCCACCTCAGTGACTTACGAAAATGCCAGGGATTGATTATCTGGGGAGCCTGATTTAATTGTTTACGGCCATAACCTGCCAAGGTGCTTCTTGCTGCCAGTTTGTGCCCTTGTGGAAAAGAAAATAAACCAGTTTAAGACTTCAGAAGGGCACACGGCTGTTCCCACAAGCAGCATTAGGCATATTCCCATGTTTCAAACTGGGCTGAGCCTTCAAGCTAATTCGTAGTTCTGTAGGGTTTCAAACTTCTGCAAAATTCCTGCCTAAGAGGGAAGGAGTATTTCTTCTTTCAAAAATGGGAAAAGATTACTAATTTTCATTTTTAGTCTGTAGTAGTGTCTTTATTTTTTTTCCCCGGAGAAAGGTTTTTTCGCTTAACGGAGTATGGTAGCATTTAAGGTATCTTCTCTTCAATAGGGGTGGTCCTTTAATTAAACATTTAATTTTGCAGATGACAAAGAACAATCAAAAACATTCCAGGCTTGAATTGCTTATGAATGGTATCTTAAAAGGTATCCTTTGGGAGACTTTGAGTCTTTACATTGGAATTTTGAAGATGAGCAGAGCTTGAAGCTGTTAAATACGTGTCTTTGGCCCTGCAGTTTCACTGTGAGGGGGTGGTTTTGGCTCAGAAGTCCCCTCCTCCCCCAGGCCTGTGTGTAATGCTGTGTACTTTTTCATCATCTGCACTGCTGGAGTTGGAGTTCAAAAACGCAATGCTCGGAACATTGGCCCCAAATGTCAGTTCTTGTTGGCCACATCACTGCTGGTGGTTTTAGCAGAAATCCCGAGCCTGTTCGCTTGCCTAGGGCATCTTTCCATGTACCTGGAGAAATTCAGTGTCAGTAAGACCAGATCGGTGGAGAGGCTAGTCCAGTGAAGCAGTTAGCATATTGCTTTCCGTTATTTAAAAAGGAGGGGGAGGGGAAAAAAAAAAGAAAAAAAAAAAAAAAAAAAAGAAAAAAAAAGATAAAAAAGGCCATCTGGAGCATTCTTGCCTTGAGGCGCTGTGGTCTTTGCATACAGCTGCCACGGGAAAGCCTTTGGCCTGTGCTCCATAGCTCAAGTTTTGGCAGTGACCAGTGTACAACAGAAAACGCAAATGTGAGGATTGTCACTTTGCTGAACAGATTGAAGAGCAGGAAGGCATGTTCACTAACTGCTCCAGAGACTCTTGAAAGGGCACTGGCTAAATCTTAAAAAAAATCTGCATTTTGCCTTTTGGCTGATCCTAAAGTTCAGCTTGAAGGAACTGATCTGTGATGCTCCAGCTTGGCTTTGCTGAAGGAAAGCTCTTGACTCCTCAAGACCTCTCAGTAACAAATCTCTGGAACTCCCCCAGGAGGGGCTGCTGTTTTGACCAATCTCCGTTTTCAACGAAGACTGTTCCTGTACAAATGCACTGACCTGAATCAGAGGACTGCAACTGGTTTCTAGTGAGTTTGTACAGAAACAGTGGTAGCAGAGATTGCTGGAAAGGGTGCAGCTAATGAGGTAAGTTGGTGTGCTAGTGGGGGGCTGCAAGACAGCAATGAAATCCCCAGTGAGTGGTGAGTCCCCAGTGTGTACTGTGAACAATGGGTTGAACCAAATGTTATCCAAAAGAGTTAATATTTTAGTTTGACCAAGACTTTGGTCTCTGTTTGCTTAAAAAGCATGCGTTGAATTTCTTTTTAATTAGATTCATTAAATATAGTGATGTTAGCACTGTATGTTGTAGTGGCTACTAGTGGATCTTCCCTTTGCAGATAGGCCCGCTTTGAGAACAGCTGATGGGTTGCAGCTATGGTGATGCTGCTGTGGCACATCAGGGCAGCTAATAATGAATTTTCCATTTGCAAGGCCTTTCATATTCCGAACAGTATCTGAATTGCAACAAGCTTTAGCAGGCCAGCTCATAGCTGCAGTTAGGATCCAGAACAGGTAATATAAATAGAAACCTGTGGAGTAATCGTAGAGAAGAATGCACATCTGTCTTATTCATAGGTGCTTTTAAGGCATTTGGCAACAACAGACTTTTTTTAATAATCAGGTAATTGTCGTCTGGAATTGACTATACTTTAATAATGTTGCTTGGAAGCATTCTTTTCCATGCTGCAAGTTTACTTTTATTTTAATTTTTTTTAAGCTTATCATATGTCATTTGTCTCTCAAATCAATATTCAGTTAGTTATTCACTTCCATTTTCATAACAAAAGTCAATATTAGCTCCAGCAGAGATTTATTTCCTTGAATCAATAAACCAGTGTGTGGCAGTACATATTTTAACAGGAGAGAAACTAGGATTGCAGGGGGTATTTTTACTATATTGTCATATGGTGACTGGGAGACAAACTGTTAAAATGAAAGGGGTTTAAGAAGAGAAAGGAGGAGTTACCTGGAAGGTCAAGGGATCCCACTTTCAATTTTCTGCACATCTCTTTGAACCTCTGAATGTAATTGTGTTCCTTACGTGCAAGATCCCTCTAGAGCAAAAAGTTGTTTCGTAATTCTGTTGGAAGGGAACCGTGATTCCTGATGTATGATTAGATGATACTGCAAGTATTTCTTTTTCCTTCTAACACACTGTAAAAAAAAATATCAATCATCCTTCTGTTACAGTTGAGACACACGGAGAACAGTGGTCACATTTGCAGCATAGCTCCACTTCTATTTAAGCATCTAAATGAAAAGTTCTGATTTTTGCAACAGCTTGGCATTCATGATCAGACCACTTTATCTGAATAATATGCTGTGCTCTATTTCCTTTTTTAAGAGTTCTTCAGAACTGGTCATGTATCACACATTCTAATGCCATGCAGACTTAAGTTTCCAACTCTGTAGTTAAGCTCCCATGTCTTTGGTAAAACCATGAAATGTTGCTGTAGGACTTTACTTTTCAGATAAAGATATTTTCCACTCCCAGATGCTGCTAGAGTTGTGTTAAACTATACTGACTATGGAATAAAGGAGAAATGCATACTAATATGCTATTACATTTTATTTTTTTTATTATTATGCATAACAACCTGGTATTATTATTATAATCTGCATACCAGTTGTGAGCAACTACCAATAATATTAAGAAAGCTGAATGTACTCCAAGGAGCTTCCTCTGGTGTTCACAGTCTCTGATTGACTACTTTTTCATTTGGTAACTATTCTATTCCTGCTACAGCTACTGAACAGGATGGTGATAAACCTGAACAGCATTGCCTCTGGAGAGGGAGCTTGTATATAATGATGTATTGTCAATATCTAAGGCAGCACAGCTTTGGGTTATGGAGAATCCATAACCCTGTGGAGTTTTGTGCGTGTTGCAGATATAGTACTTAGGGTTTTTTCTTCCTGAAATGTTTTTTTCAGTGGATTTTTCCCTCTGGTTAGAGGAAAGTTAGGAAAGCTCAAGAAATTAAATTTTAGCCCTAACAATCAAAATCTCCATAAAATCAATCTTGTCTTCTGAAAGCTGTTACGCTGGGGTTTTCCATAATGGACATACATATATGCACATACACATAAGTCTTACACCAGCATTAGGAGAATTTTTTGTTCTCTCAGGTTTTTGGAGGTTTTTTTCCCTCTTGATGAGAGGGAATTCATGAGAGGTGATTTCAAGTGTCTTGACCCCTAGATACATATGAGGGATATCTAATGCTTAATCTGTCTGACTTGTAAAAACACTAACTTTACTCAACCAGAAATTTCAAAGTATATAGATCTTGCTGAACTATGCTTTCCAGTGACCTTCCATGGAAATTGTTGCTGATAGTTGAATATGAAGATAATTTCTGAGAGTAATACTCTCCAGAAGTCTTTAAACACACTTTGGTAGAGGTTCTTCAGGTTGTTACTTTTCCTGACTCGGTTTCCTTATTTAGCGATGCAGAAAAATTGAGCGTTGCTAAGGAGATTGAGAGGAAGACCTCCCTGCGATGTATCACTGCTCACTTGAGCCAGGACCCAAGCAAAGCCTTTCTTTTTGTGGGCTGCATCTTTTTATGTGTGGCCTTTCAGTATCATCATGAAGTAGTTCACCCTAACTGAAAACTCCCACAGGAGACTCCTCTACCACAAATGGAGTTTAATATTCACAGTTCCTGAAAACACAAAGAGAATGAAGCAAAGGGCACTGGTGCTGTTTGCTGGTATGTCTTGGAGTTCAGCTGTCTGAAGTTGATAGAATTGAGATTGGAATTGGTCCTCAGTCCAGAAGTCCGTTTTGCTACAAGTGTTTTTCAGCACTACTTTTCTCTTCTTGCAGTGCACTATATTTGATCTTCTGCTGTGAGACAGGCAAGACAATTAGGACTGTGATGCTATGGTAATGAGTGCATAGAGATGGTAGCAACCTCTATATTTAGGCTGCCTTAACATTTCCACTCTAAAGTAATCACTCAACCTCTCCTAAGTACTCTTACTCAGCTACTGCTGTCAGCAGGCATTTGAAATGCAGCCTTGGATACAGTCTTGGGAATTAGATGTCTCTCTATGAAATTTTGCTCAGGTCTGTGTGAGTTACAAGGCTTTTGAAAATTGCCATTTCTCTTCTCTCACTGGCTGTAAAAATAACTGAACAGGAATGTATGTTCTCAAGAGCTGGGCTCAAAATGACGTTTGCAGGAGCAGCGGTGAGTCCATGGGTCTGCGTGGGAGCATGCATCAGGAGCATTTCAGAGAATGGCAGACCATGGGCATGTCCTCCAAACACTGCTCCAGATATATGTGTCCCTCACCATTAGACCTGTTAGATTAGGCACAGCATTAGGCTAATGTGACTGTTGCGGCCACACTTTGACTGGGGTCTTTGTGCATTATTTCAGTGTACAACAAATGCACAGATGGACCAGCTTAGATTTCCACATGCTGTGGAGGTGTCCTGGGCTCAAACCACGACAAAAGGAGAGTTGTATCTCAAGGAGACTACTAAACGGATGTTTCTCTCAGAGGCCACCTCCTTATAGTCCATCAGTCATCTGTTTTGAGGCAACAAGTAAAGACATATTGAACAAGGTTCACAGTGGCTTATGGCATTGCACTCCTCCACTGCAGCCTCTCCTCTCACTGGGGGCTATTCTCACAGAAGTCTTTTGTAAATGAAATTGGGCTCTTCACACCAACTAAAGCCAGTCTAGATATTTCCAGAGAGGTACAGAAAAAGAGGGCTTATCTTCCTTCCAATGTACTAAAAGCTAATTTTCTTAATCTCCAAGACACTATCTAAGAATAGGTGGGTCATCAGCCAACAGTTTCATGTCTCAGACCAGCTACTGAGTGCACATATACCTTCCCCTTTTTCTAGCTGTAATCTTTCCCTGTGTGATATTTAGAGCAGTGAGAAAAAAATGGTTTTATTTATTCTTCCTGTTTTCAGGGAACCAGGGCTTCCAGTATTCTTTCTACATTAATACTGTGACATGATATAAATGTTTGTCTCCGTTGTAAGCTTTCCTTTACACAGAGGTAGCCAACAGGGCTCTAAATTTTGGCTGGCTGCTAAGGTCAGGAAGGCATAAATACTTAGATGAAAGTCTTTTGCAGTATGTTGTTCCTAACCTTTCATTTTAACTGGCCCTGAATGAGTAGGAGTCTTTCTGTTTACAAAAAGAAAAAAAAGTGTGATCATACATGTTTTTAACAGCTCTCAAGAGCCCTGTTTCTGTAATAGCCTTATTAATGTTTAAAACGAGAAAACAGAAACTAAATATTTAAGGTAGGAACACTGCTCACTTTATATAGTGCCTTCCATCTGAAGACAGACCCAAGTAAGATCTGAGTACTGTCTTGTCAGGCTTTCAAAGCCAAAACAAAACAAGCAAATTAACTGAAGTTGGCTTTGCCAATCTCTTTAACTACTGCTAGGATACATGAGATCAGGTTTTCTCATTTTGACAGTGTCACCATGAAACTGGAGGGCATTATGGAATATTAAGTGATCTTTTAATTATGGAAGAACAGTTTAACTGCAACTCTGAAGTCATGCAAGCAAAAAAGGTATTTTGATCAGATTATTTGAAGGAGGCTTGTGGAACAGAAATTTCAAGTTAAGATGTGTCTGCTCTGAAATTAGCTCTTGATACATCGTAACCCACAATTGCAAAAATTGTTCCTCCACTTTGTTTGTTTTTTTACATATCCTGTACTTAAACCTGCTTGCTCTTCAGCAGAGCATGTAACAGGGCTGTGAAGGCAAGCCTGTGTGAGCAGCAGTGTATATTCAGAGCCAGAACTGCTGCTCACAGGAACAGTCAGTGTGAAATCACAGCAGAGGGCTCGGCTGCTTTAAGTAGAAGCCTACAAATTGCATTTTGTTTCAACATCAGAAATGTTAAGTGCAGCCCCTCCTCAATACTTCACAGATTCAGGTTTCAAATGTCAGATTCTCTAGGGTTAGCCTGAGCTGATGCTCTAGGGCTGTGAGGTTGCACTTCCTCACTCTGCCTGTGCTGAAGCCGGCAGGGACAGAGGGTGTTGCTTTGCTGCCAACAGGCTGAGGGCATGGCAGACTGTTTCCTACTTGGGGTTTGTTTGTGTGACAGTAGCATCTAGAGGTTTCAGAAGGAATTAAAGCCCACTTTGCTAATGGCTGCACATAACATACAGTCCCTATCTTAAAGGATAGGCTGAAAAAAGGCGGGAAAGGAAACATAAACCCAGGCTGAGATGGCAAGCAAGCAGGCTTCTTCATGTGCATTACTTGGTAGACAGTGCTCTGGCCTCTCACCCCTCCCTGTTTGACATTGGGAGAACTGAATGGAGTTTACAACAGCTATTTGGGGTAGAAATCATTAGTAGCCTGCGTAAGTGACCAGCAGTGTTTGTCCAAGAATCCTAGCATTAGCCATGCCACAGGAGGGAGGTTGGGTTAGGTGGGTCATTACCATTATCAAAGTTACCCTGCCACTATTCTTCAGTTAAAACCAAAGTGCAAGAAAAATACTGCAGAATGACAGAGCTATGACCACCATGCCTGGATTTGGTTTTACTAACACAACCTGTGGATTTCCCATTTGGAGTCTAATGCAGTGCTCAGCAGCGGGGCTAGAAAGGTGATTTTGTGCTCTGTGAGTTGAACATGCTTCGCAGCTGCGGAGGCCAGGTGCTGTGTGAGCAGCACAGCATTTCTTTGCGATGGAGCAGGCTTCTGCTCTTCCGTTCATGTGGCTTGACCTGATCACCACCCTCTGATCTTCCTCCACAGCTGAGCTGTTACAAAAGCCATTGCATTTTTGGCAGAGACATGGGTCTCTCCTAGTGTTAAGTCTAAGCTGCAGCAGCATAAGTGGAGTCTTGCTCTGTCTTCTCCTGCCTCATGCTGATCTCTTGCATTTCAGATCGCCTACGCTGCAGTGGACTGTGCCAAAGAACAGAATCATGACCTGTGTAAGCAGGAGGGGGTTGATGGCTACCCCACCTTCAACTATTACAACTACGGGAAATTTGTGGAGAAATATACTGGAGAAAGAGGGGTAAGTGAAAGCAAAAGTCATCACCTGATACAGGGAGGAAGGTCTCCTCTGTCTGTACTGCCTTGCAAATGAAAACTGCGGGGTAAATTTTTATCATGCTGAAAGGATTTTTAACTGCTTCTGTTACTGTCTTACATGGATGAATCATTGTGTACCACACCCCTGTACATCTCTGCATTAGGAACATACTTGGTCTATTTTAGGAACATGAGAAGAGGAAAAAGGGGTAGATTTGATAGTGCTTTGTTGTATATTTTATTCTTTAAGCTGAAGTCTGCAAATGAATTTTTGGACTGAGTGAAAGTGAAGGGTTTATTGCATGTGCTGCTGCTAGGTGCAGAAATGCCAGAAAATACAGAACTTACTCCTGTTGGTTCTGGATCTGGATCGTGCATATACTGCAAACATGTTTCAGGTCCACCAGGCTGCCAAATGGTGACAGACCATTGGTTTTATAGCAGGGACAAAGCTGTCCTTTGGAGTCTGGGGGAAACAAAATACCTCACTCTCTCTGAATCAGATTCACTCCAGGAGCTCAGGATGGAAAGACCGATTGTGCCATCTAGCCCATGGGCTAACATTTCATTCTTTTGTCCTTCTGTGGCCAGCTCATTCTATGCTATGAGAATAAGGGGCAGAAATGGCATAATGCCTTCCATGGCTGTAAAGTGCCTGAAAATAAGGGAGCAATCCGGTTATTTGTGTGTGTTCTTTGTCATAACCTGACAGAGGGAAGTTAATCCTCAGCAGTGGTTGATTGCCTCGAGAAGCTAGGGTTTGCAAGAAAAACTTGGGGTCTTAAGCCATCCAGTGGTTTTGATTAAAGAGCCTTGTCTGAAAGTTATTGCTGCTGTTACAGCTCACCAAATTATAGAGGAGCATGAAGAAGCAAGCCAAATTCTGAGGTTCTTTGTCAGTCAGGATCTTAGGGAAGACTTTATGGAGTTTTGCCTCCCAGTTTTCTCCAGCATTAGGACCCCAGTAATTACCATTTTTATGGGTGCTGATCCACATGTTGTTATGGATACTGTGTTTAGTTCCAATTGTGGATCTTTTCTTAAAAGTAAAGATGGTGCAGTACCCAACAATTAAGTAAATTTCAGCTGCAATTTTTGTATTTTTAACCCATATTTATAGAAATGATATATGAAAGGAAGGATCCGTGGTGGCTGATAAAAAGAATTTAGCAAGACAGGAGTTCTCTGAGGCCACAGCAGTTGGGAGATGATTATCTCTATGCTAGAAAGTGGACAGACTAATCCCCTATATGCAGGCAACCCTTTCTTGGGTAGAATTAAATTACCCAAGTCACAGTCTCTCTCCTGCTGGAAACCGTGTTCTCCCTCCACCTCTCCTGGGACCTGTGGTCTTCTGCTTGTGCAGCATCAAATTAGGTTTTGTCATCGCCTATCATAACACTGGAGGCAGCGCTTAGCACTCTGCCTTCCATGGAGTTTCCATGTCTATTCACAAATCTGTTTCAGTAACAAGGGGTTGCACTGTTAAAGGACTTCTCATCAGCATGGTAACACCTTCTGAGCCACCTGGCCAACGACGTCCTACTTTGCAAAACAAATCTCAGGAGAGAGCAGGGGGAGCCAGAGAACCTGCTTTCTGTTCCTGATTCTGGCACTAAATCAGTAGATGTCCACGAGCATTTAGTTCCGTGTGGCCCAGCAGCTGTATCATCGTTTCACATGGGCAGGGAGGAAGAGAAGTGATGTCAGCTGCCTTGGGAGCAACATGGCATGCTACAGCAGGAGCCGTGGCCAGCAGGGCGGGAGCACCCCGCGCTGGGGAACTGGCTATGGGGAAGAGTATGACCCCCAGCGGCAGCCTGTAAGGAGTCCTCCACACCTCCAAGAGAACTGCAGTTCCTGAGTAGAGGTTTTGGGGCATTTCACCCCAGGCAACCCGAGCAAGGAAGAATCGGGACACCCTCTGGCCCAAGTATAATTTAAATGACTTCCAGACACACAGCTTTGAAAACTGGGGTCCTTTCGTGAGGGCTGTTGATTGCCAGATGTCTCCAGATGACATATGGCCAGAACTTGTCACCTCATTGATTTTTTTCAGTGGAAGAATAGTGAATGGTTTTAGAAGAGTGTTCTGTTGTTTGGCCTTCTCAAAAGCTTCCCAGCTTTGGGGTTTGGTTTTGATTCATTTTGTTTTCTTTGTTTTGGTTTGGTTTTTAAGGTCAAACTTTGACTTCTGTTTGTTGTTTTCTATCTCTCTGTCTTTTCTGTCTTTTTCACCAGTCTTGACTGGTGTGTTTCAGGATTGTTTAAAAGTAAAAATGGTCACATTGGGTGGGATCAGTGTTACTTGTCCAGACAACTATAGTGTTGGTGTACCAGCTGACAGTGTGTTCAAACACAGGTGTTCACAGCTACGCTTATCTGAGCCATTTGAAATGCATGTGAGTTGTGTTCAGAGCTTTCCTTGGAAAAGGAAACTGCTGGCATCCAACAGCCTTAAATAATCAGGACTCGTAAGTTGTTGAAATACAGAGGTCAGCATCTAGGCATCCAGGTTTGAAATTGTTTGACAATAATTTTGATAGTAACTTGAAAAAAATGTAATTCTCATCATCGGAATGTGTGGAAAAGGAGGAGGATCATGAGCAAAACTGTTAAGTGATGAGGAACAGTGGCAAATGTGTGTATAGTCAACAAATGATCCACTAACTGCTTTCAGAGTGAGATGTGTAGCATACAAATGTGGCTTGAAAATGTCTATGAGAGTTTCCAACAAAAAGACATCAATGACACTTGTAAGGGACAGATTTTTACATTGTGTTGTAAGTTTCAGGGCCTTTTTCTCTGTGTCCCATCTCTTAAATGTTTGACATGTGGAATCTGCATGGGTATTTTCCTCTTGGATTACAGCAGAGCAGAACTGGACCAGAGCACTGCACGATGAGACAATGCAGAAGCAGTAACTGCTCCTTAGTTTATATTCTGCCATGCTATACAGAAACTAAAAGTGTTCTTGACACATTGTTTTGGTTTGCTTGTAAAAATATGACCCATATTTTTCTTTCTTCAAAACCAGGAGTCTGGATTCACCACTTTCATGCGAGTCCTGAGAGAAAGAGACCATGAAAGAGTAGGAAAGAAGAAGGATGAATTGTAGTTTCTGCCTCAAAAGAAGCTTTCCGCTGCACTGTGAATGGTTCCAGGTCTTTTGTTAATGCACCTGAGACTTCACATATTCTCAAGACAGAGACTTTTTTTTATAAACAGCCATGGCCATTTTGTACAATTTTGAAATAAAGTGAGACCACTTGATTTTTAAAAAGAAAATAAATTAGAATGTTGCCATAATGTTTTAAAGAAGACTTAGCATTTTCTCTCATGTTGTGAGACTATGCCCACTGACACTCCTATGCAATATTTTTGTAGTCTGTAGTGTGTCTGTAGGTGATGTTGTTTGATAGGGTGATTTTTTTTTTTTTTAAGGTATTGCAGTACATGTAAAAAACAAAGGGGAGGGGACACATTTTTTTGTTTGGCTTTATGGTTTGGTTTGTTTTTTTTTTAAACCAGTGAAGGAAAATGGGACTTTTAAGACATGAATTTATCCAAATACAGTTTTACATTCTTGTGAAATAATTACATGTTCTTCAGTGAGATTTAGGGGAACAATTTTAAGGTGCTCAGGGATAAATAAGGTATCTGAGTTAATGAAGACATTAACATTGACCAGTCCAGATCTGTTGATTTAATTTAAATCTCTCTAGTCCTTACATCAGGACTGTTTACATACCTTTATGGAATGTATTGAGTGAACTATGCCAAGTGTCAAAAATCAGCAGAGCATGGGTAAAATTGAACTAAACCCTCCTTTTTTTGGCATCAGTATTGTCAAATACATCTGTAACTTATGGCAGGAGTGATTATGTTATAGGGGTATACAGTTACCCTTATAGGGTATACAGTCTCCCTTCAAATTATGATTGGACCATATAAAATATGTGTTGAAAAGTGTTATATTCAACTGTTTTGATAAATGCGTAATACTTTTGATAATGGAGTAATTGTGTATATTACGTGTTTACATTCCAAAAGTTTATCTGCATTTGTATGTGGGATTTTTCATTTCTGCTTTTTAAGGGGTTACAAAATCATTGCTGTAAAACCTGTATCAGCAGCAGTTGAAATGTGTTACACTCTTGATGCTAAAAAAAAAAAAAAAAAAAAAAAAAAAAGATGATCTGGACATACTTACGTCTTCACAGGAGGGAAGGGGTGGGGCAGGAAGTTGTGATTCACTTTGAACTAAAAATAAATTTTAAAAAAAGACAAGTATTTTTATAATTAATCAGCCTTGTTCAGCTTCTTCCCTGCTGGGTGAACGACTGCAGCTGGTGGTGGTGTAGGAGGAACCAGCGTACCCAGACGGGGTGCCCAGCACCCCTTGGCTGGGGACCGCCCGGTGTCCAGGTGTGCTGGGCAGGATGGTGGGTGTTTGGCGCTGTGAGGGTTGGCCTCCATCTGCCTTGGCACTCAACGGGCAGGCAAAACTGCTTTTTACGGTGAAGAACTGTGCCTTGGGTCTGAAATCTTCCTCTTGCTCCTCAGTCTGCCCGTCTCATTTTCTTTTGTTAGTTTGGATCCTTGGTCAAGGCCGTGCTAATGGACGACTCAGCGCTGTGCTGCTCAGGAGGTGAATGACATCTTACCTCCTTTCTTGATATTCTTCCCTCTTCTCTCTTGCCCAATTAATGGCACTGTACATTTTTGGCACTCGTTAAGCTGCTGAAACCATTAGTGAGTAATCGGGAATACCGGTAGCCTGATTGGCCTTGTATAGTAGCCAGCTTGTTAACCACGACATCGGTTTGAACAGCGATGGAGCTGCGCCAAGTATCTTCTCTTATCAGGCACCTGATGAGTATCTTCACCCAAAAAATCAGCTGCCTGGTAGTACATAATACCCTAGTGTGAAAGTAGCTTAATTTATTAAGACTGGGGTTTTTTTCTTTTCTGTTAGCATAGTTACTTCATGTTGTGTTTAGTACTTTTGAATAATATCATGGTAATTTTTTCTTTCAAGCTATCCTCGCATTAGTAGCAAGCATTCTGCCCTGCATTTAGGAAATAATACATATTGAAGCCATTTGATTTCAAACAGGAATTCTTTTGCTTACCAGCAAACTATCAAGTATGAGCAGTCCAGAACTTATTGCATTTTTTTTGATCTCTGAGTCAAAGCAGCTGGCATTAAAAAAAATACAGTCTCCAGAAATGCTTGAGCATTTCTGTGCATTGGCTGTGCCTATGTTTGCACTAATTGCTGAGAAACATAGACTTCAAAAAAAAAAAAAAAAATCATAGCTTGCCAGTGGTGACATCACTTGTCAGGATCATTCTGAATTATAGGCTTTATTAAATGTTTAGGATAGGACAATTGCACACTATGCTTCAGACCAGTAATTCCTTACAGCTGGTTACACCATAATAAAATTAAAATTAAGGATTCTCGGTTTTGTCTTCGGTCTTTTGTCAGTTACTTTTTGGACTTGGGAATTCATTTTTTCGTGGCTAATCATGTGTTAATGCACAAATATAAAATATTTGAGAATAATTTACCTTCTGTTACAGGGTCATGACTCATCTGGTTTATAGTCTGAACGGTTTTTGAAAAATACAGTTCTGAACACCATAAACGAGTATATCAAATGGCTGACAAAAGCCTTAGTTACTGTGAACTAGAGTGTACTGTGAGCTAGGAGCTTTGCTTCCAAGCCTTTTTAATTAGTAGACCAAGTCTGGATCTCAGTTATACTGTTGTAATTCTGTTGCCTCCAGTAAAGCAAAAATTGGTGTTTATATTTGTTACTGAAGTCAGTTTATGTTTATATTTGCATCAGTCAAGTTAAAATTGAAATGCTTTTCAGTTTTTTTTCTACAAACTGTGAATGAAAAGTATCTTACATGTAAGAGCTCTTATTTTGTGTAATTAAATGGTTGGGCATTTCACACATTCAGACTTTCTAGCTTGTCATAGATGCATAGCCTAGGCGTTCATAACCACATCGGAATTTCTGCCACGGTTAAAAGTGAGTCATCTGGGCTTTCAAATCATGAATCATTTATCAGCAAGAAACTTAATTGCTGATAACAAATGGTTTGCAGTGAATCAGAAATTCTGCTCTTGCAATTATGGGTTTGGTCTTTCAGCCCCTTTAAGGTGTGATTCAAAAGTCTTGAGCATCCGCTACACCGTTAACCCTAAGTAGATGAAGTCTTGTTGAGGAGGAGTGAAACGTGTACACAGTGGAGAGGCAGAGCAAGGATTGTGTATCACTTTGTTTCTCTGTGTTGACTTAAACAAGATATAAATAGCCCCCAGGTCTGCGTTAGTCCTGTTGCGTCGTTGGACCAAGAGACGAAGGGTAGCAGAACGGAGCATTTTGGGTAGACTAGTAGCAGCAAATGAAAGAGCCTGAGATGCTGGATTTGTTTCATCCACCAAAAGAAGGGAAGAGGGAACCCAGAGAAGATCCCGGGAGCGTCACTACTCTGGCACATGGGAGACCCAGGTTGGAGCCCCAAAATGAGCATAAGCTTCTGTCCCAGTCCCGTGGGATAATTTGGTTTCTGCTGTAAAGGAGTTATTCATCTATCTCTGACCCAATATCTACATCCTTATTTGTTCAAACTAGAGAAACTCCTACAGGAGATACTGGAAGAAAGTTGCTCTCCAGTCTGAATCAAGAAAAGCAGCCTAACAAATCTCCGTTTCCTCTTTCCTCCCCCTTTTAAAATTACATTCTGGATCTGATAGCCCCAGTGACCCCCCAAGCCCTTCCTAACTAGTTGCAGTTGAGTGAAAGCCTTGGGAATTCTTCTAAGCTTTCACTCAGGCCAAATTAGGTCTCCAAATCTTGCTGATTTAAAATTCTCTCAATAGTCATCCACAAAGATGGGTTGCTATTAATGGTCAAAAAATGATTAGAGGAGTAAGGTTTGTGTTCTTGCATCATTTAATTTGGGAGTTAAAAAGCAGATACAACTCCCATCATGAGTAAGCTCTAAGAGAATGCTTCAGACAGAGTCTTGTTTCAGATGGAATTGCTTCATGGGTGATTGTGATTTTAGAGGCTGACTGCTTTTCAAAAGAAAAGTCCAGACCTGGTGACTTAGCCTACAGGTGTTTTCTTAGCCTGTTTTGCTTTTAAAAAATAAAAGGCAAAATCACTCTCCATATTCTTGGTAGTGCTACATTACGTGAAAGAAATGTTGCTTATATGGATTTCCTAGAATAATACTAAGCCCCTGCCAACCGCATTTTACAAACTATGAAACAAGCCATTTGCTCAAAACAGCACTCAGGGGAGTGGGGACTGTTGTCCACATGCAACTCAATTTAATAGGCTTACTTTAGTATGATTGGGTTTGTAAGGGTACACTGGGATTGCAGGAGTAAATTCTGAAAACTGAGGCGGGGGGTGGGGAGGGAAATTAGCTTTTGTCAGCAGGTGCTGAGTGTTGGGGCCAAACACTGGCACGTCCTTCGCCTTTGGCAGCCCAGCATCCCTGAGTGTTCCATGGCTCCACTGGATCCGCGGGCGTGCAGCCCTTCAGCTAATCCGGCTGCGTACGTAACTGCTCTGTGCTAGAATGGGTTGGAAACCAAAATTTCTGCCATTATTTTCTTTGGCTAGTTGTGAGAAGATGCTATGCTTTCTCTGTGCATCCTACTTTTGTTTGCCGATTAAGGAAGGAGGGTACCTGGGTGTTTCGACAAAGGAAGTTGCTCCAAATGCCGTCGTATCTGCTGGCGACCAGGACTCCTGGAACACCTGACTGACCAACACTGTGGAAATACTCCCTGTGAAGCACCCTTGACTGGCTCAGCTTTTGCCAAGGTTTTGGCAGGCACCGTACGATGCAATGTTGCAAAAAATCTCAGTATCTAAGGCAGCAATTTCCAGGCTGTGGTTTCTGAGGAGTTAAGCTGAACTGTAAACTGTGTATTCATCAGTGCAGTGTAGCTGGTTTTGAGGTCAGAAAAAAGATGGTCTGTTAGCCCCAAATTTAGGGATTTACAGATCCAATGCTGGCCTGTAATTAAAGCCTGGAGGATGGCCGGGTGTTCCCACCCAGCTGCCGGACCTGGTCAATGGTTTGTAAGATTCCTGCCCCTGGAAGTCCTCTGTCCTCCTGCCCAGAGCACTTACCACTCTGCCAGGGAGACAGTGCTCCTTAAGGAACAGTTATTCTGTGTTTCCTTAGAAAGCATCATAGTGCTAATTATTCTCATTAGCTTTGAGTCACTAATAAAATATTTTTCCTATTGCTCTTCCATCACTCAGTAATGAGAACCATTTAGTCAGATTTTTGCAGATACTGCTCCCTCCCTCTCTACAACACATGATTCCCTGCAAGCATTCATCATAGGAAAAAAGCTTCTACGTGAACAAAATATTTTCAAATTAGTCTCTGGTGCCCCAGTTAAGTGGGTGTCTACATCGCAGGCATGCAGAAGAGCCTTCTTCATTAACATGTGCAATTCTGCGTGAGCTGATTAGCTCTTGCAGCTCATTTGGTAGCAAATGCGTAAATCCGTCACACTCCAAATGCCAAATATGTGCACAGCTAAATTATGGAGAAGTAAGAAACTGCAAGAGGTGGAAGTCTTAACTTGGAAAAAGAGGTCCTTATCCCATGCATTAAATTGGGGCTTGGAATTTATCTAGAGCATTTGTCACTCCTCTGCTTTGTCATTTTTCTGTTTGCAAAATGAATAATTCTTCCTGTCGTGTTGATGGTCCTTTCAGTATGTGTGGGTGTTTAATTTTGTGCCTAACATTTGTAACAGACACCTGATAGCTAGTCTCAGTTCCCATAAAACAACAATAGCCACAACACAATGCAATCTTCCTTGCACAGTACGTGAAACGGAATTAATCAGTTATTAACTATGTACCATTAATAATCCAGTTACCATCACTTTTCTTGATCTTTTTTGTTTGTAAAAAACTTGTGAAGAAAAAGCAGGGGGGGAGGAAATGAAATACCTTTTTTTAAATGTCTGTGGTTTTTAGTCAGGGCAGTGCTGCACAATTAAATTAATGTAATGCTGTATCTGCCAGCCCAAGGGAAGCACTAAAAAATGTCACCTATCTATGGGAAGGGGCTGGTTGGCTGCTGCAAACAGTGAATGCCCTCAGTCAGTTACTCTGGGACCAAACAAGGAAATTGGCCTTAAGAGCCCTAATTTATGCATGCTTTTACTCCTCTTCTTGCCAAGTAGCTGCAGAGCCAGCCCAGCCTCAAGGCCTGGACTCACCAGCTCG